AAATAAAATTTTGAGATTTTGGGGCAGTAATAGTGGAATAGTGCCAAGTTATTATTAGTTAGCTGCCAAGTTACAGAATAGTATTATAACGCACTCAAAAATACCCAGGGATCTCGAAGTCTAAAAGGGGATTACTACGACATATTCGAATAGTATATTTCTATGCTATCCATGAAAGACGCAAATGAGGCAGTATCTACTTTGACTGTTGGAGCAGCAATCGATAAGACTTCCTCGATAAATGGTGAAAACACATCTCCTAGGCAATAACCTGATGACGAGATACTGCTAAGCTGTCAACAGCTGCCAGTGATGATTCAGAATATTTGATGGAAAACAAAAAAGGATGCTTCATTATCTCCATAGTGACATCATTTCAAAGCAGGTTGAAATCAGGCTGAAGACGTAGCATTAGATGAGCAAAAAATATTATATATAGTTCAGGGAGCCAATGGCCAGCTGCTGGAAAAAATGTCGCCCATGATGCTATTTTGGCAGGGTTATCAATCAAGGCACGCAATAAACACATGAAGCTCGAGAACTCTGTCACTCAAAAGATTTCGTGAACTCGGTCACTTCACTTTTTTTAACAAGACCTATGCTTCTCCTGCCTTGACGTCATCTTTATTTTCGACGACCATGTACTTCTTAAAAGAAAGAAGCTGGGGAAGATGAGATCCTAAATTTTCAGATGTCTCAGTGCAACAAGAGGAAACCATGAGGGTTCATCCGGAATAATAGAGTTGCATCACCTCAGCCGCAATATATAGTAGACAGCCTGACTACGCGCACTATGAAATGTGAGGTTTAAGGTCATATTTACTCTCAAATATTTCCCACCAAAATCGTGTTATCAAACTCACCTTTTGTCCACGTCCATGATTCCCCAACTGAATCGAGAAAGAACGTGATAAGTTTGCACTAATGGCGAAATGCACAGATCTGAACAGCCTCTACCGGGGGAATGGCTATAAATCACAACGGATTTGAAGATAAGATTGATGAAAGCAACTCTCAGTGAGCGAAGCTTACAAGAATGGCTTTTTTCTCCATTCGAAACTTAAGAAGCTCAGTTTCTGAACTGGCTTAAAACTGGTGCATGGGCGGAGACGAGCGCCTACAACGAGAGAAGCGTGTCTTCAAGCAGCGATGCTTCTATGAAGAATTCATATTATATTTATAATCATAAGGATAAAAATCTTTTTTGTGAAGTCGTTCAATTGAACCTGGTCAGTAAGGTTTAGTGATACTAAATGTAAGTTAATGGGTATGTGCCGTTGAAAACTTCCACATCTGATAGTTCTGAAATTGTTCTACATCGTATGACACTTTCTCGCCCTTGTTGGTTTACTTAGTGTTGCACATTATAAATGAAACACCGAATTGCGTTTTTCGACCGTCCTTTCCTTGCTTTTTTATATGAAGTGATCAGATCAGTGGTTCAAGGCACAGTTGCAAGCTATTCTTAGCGTTGCACATTGAAAATGTGGAACACTGAATTAGCTTTTTCGACGGTAGGTCTTTCTTAGGCTTTTCTCATGTGGAATTGAAGTGAGTACAAGAATGGGTTCAACGAAATCAAGTTATATTGTCGAAAGACTTAACGAGTCCATTAGCCACCTGCATAGCCTAGAGCTACAGGATACCGCTGACTATCAAAAATGGCGGACTTGATGATGTATAGACATATTCACGGAGCGCCGCCATAGCAAAAAAAAATGGAAAGTGTGTTGCAGACTAGTGTGAGAAGCCGCAACGAGCTGACTTAATGATAACGCTCTTTTGAATGTTTACAACGACAAATGTATGCATAAGGATCTGAATTAGGCCGAACCTCGCGAATTCCCCATGCTGTCACTCATTAGCGCGCTGTTCATAAGATTGAGAGAAAGCTTTCGCATGCTTGAGAGGAAATGATTCACTTCACAGAGAAATGGCTCAACTGGTCAGTCCGGCCATTTATAATGAGATGTAGTCCAATGAACGCGTTTTGCGACGCTGAGCTCAAATCCGTTTTCGTTATCTGCGGAACGATTCTCTGAAAGAAGTTACGAGGGGGATCTTCTCACTATGGCTTTTTGCACTGTGCATCCCTCTACTTTCCCACTGTCTCACTCGCAATAAGAGAGCAGAGAGCATTACATGCAGTTGGCAAAGTTGGCCTAATGGATATCTCCCTAGACTCATACGGGAGAGGTCACAGGATCGGATCCATAGAACCGCAAAGCTTTTGCATTTTTTCATGGCTTCTCATACGAGCCCAAAAAGTGTCTATATTTGGTTATTTTGTTGATTTGCGTCCCCACTTGACATGTGGCTGAGACAGACTTTGGAATTTTCCTCTCGTCCGTCTTTTTAGGTTTTCTATTATGATGAACTTTGACACACGGAGCTACAAAACACAAGTTACACAGGCTCGTAAATATAATACAATTTCAAATAATTCGTGAGCATATGTGATAGTTCTTCACATGGTGATCAAAACAAAACAGCTTTTCGCAGTTGCACAGGAAATAAAGAAAGAGCTAAGGTGATGTAGAGGGTGCCACAGTGGGAAAGTCACAAAAGAGTAAATCCCCTAATATTCTCTCATAGAGTCGCTCCGCAGATAACGAAAACGGATTTGAGCTCAGCGTCGCAAGACGCGTCCACTGGACTACATCTCATTTCAAACGGCCGGACTGACCAATTGACCATCTACAGCGTAGTCCACGGACCCAGCACCTATGATAGCCAATTGTTCGACAATGCAACAGAGGACTGCGCACCCTAAGTATCGTTAAGATGAAAAGTACAAAAGGGTTGCGGATGCGTCACTTACAAGGGAATGCTTTGGACTTCCCATGGAACTTTGAAAGATGACCTGGGTATATCGATAGAGTCTTGAACGCTGATTGCAAATAGGGACACTATAACTGCTACGTGAACTTTCTTTGAAAGTTATGAGCCTTCAAAGTTGGCAAGAAGCGGACGCCATTTCATCAGGACAGCTAAGCGCTGACGAGGCAGTGGCGGCGGCGCAGTGGTATAGCAAGGAAGAGTTCATCGCCCAGGGCTTGGTCATAGGGTTTGCTCCCGGCCGGAGCCAAAGTTTTTGCACACTGTTTTTTGAATCCAGCAAGGGCTGTTATCAGGATTAGTGTCTTCTACTTCATTAATATTTGAAAGCCACTCCCATTTACGCTTGTAATATACGTCCCGAAGGTAGAGATGAGTACTAGATATTTATTCATGGAAGATCGGGGAATATATAATATATCTAAACAATATAGCGATGAACCGTTAATTCAACACTGATGAAGACGCAAAAAAATGTGAGAGCAGACATGTTGTTCACAAATAGTGCAGGGGAGAAAAGCCATGATTATTGAATGCAAATCGATAACATGTCTCCACTCCTTTGAATTCCGCGTCAACATGTTGAACTACACGTGCCAGATAAAGCCGAATGTTTGAATGAAAAAAATGGAATAACACCCCTTGCTGGATTCAAAAAACAGTGTGCAAAAACTCGGCTCCGGCCGGGAGCAAACCCACGACCAGCCGCCTTTAGAGCGAGAACTCTTCCACTGCGCCGCCGCCACCCTGCCTCGTCAGCGCTTAGCTGTCCGAAAAAAAAAAAAAAAAAAAAAAAAAACACAAAAAAAAAAAAAAAGGTACGAAGTTATACGACGTCTCTTGCCAACTTTGAAGGCTCATAACTTTCAAAGAAAGTTCACGTAGCAGTTATAGTGTCCCTATTTGCAATCAGCGTTCAAGACTCTATCGATATACCCAGGTCATCTTTCAAAGTTCCATGGGAAGTCCAAAGCATTCCCTTGTAGAACTATAACCGTTTTTCGTACGGTATGCCCATTTTACTTAGTTGACGCTTTTTCGATCTTCCTTTGGTCTATAGGATTCATTACTGTTCATGAGTTCACTTCGTAATCACAATGAATAAGGATAATAAAATGAAACTAAATACTCCACTGCAATGACCATGCTTGATATATATATAATAAATAATCGGGTATAATTAAAATAAATTCTCGACATATGGGGTAAGAATATAAGAAAAAGATTTAGCTCTGACTCTAGAAAAATGCACTGCTTCATAGAGATGAACACTCGATGGTTGGTGTTGGCGGAGCGGTCAAGGGGTTGTAGATAACGGCGATAAACAAAAATTCCAAGCAATCGGTCGGCATAGGCTAAAAACAGACCGTTGAGGATGGCAGCGTCGCATCTCAAAATGAAAGTTTGATGTCTCTACGCAAGGAACAAAAAATCGAAACCAAATCTGTGATGCATCGCAGAGAAAGATCGTGAAAAAGCAAGAAAAATTGAACATGGCATTGATCGACCATCATGCATGAAAATACTGATCATTCAGGTCAAAAAACACTCCCAAGAATACACTAAGAGAGAAAATTTGCGATATAAAAGTCTAAACCAGTGAACATAACTGTGAGAATAAAGGATATGTAAGAGGAAAGAATAGAAAAATCATGCAGGAGCAGCATCTGCTGCTCCTTGAATATGCACGATCCACTATCAGTCATATCGGCGATAGATTACTAGCTTATCGTGGACGAATACACATCCCTTCTTCTACAGATTATTTCCTGATATATCTTTTTCCACAAGTATGTTTTTCAAGTTTTGTATATTGTTACTTCCAAAGGAAGATTTTATACATGTTTATTAAATTAGTTGTCGAAGCTTTAAATCGTATTACAATTAAAAAATCACTGTCTCGCCGAGAGGAATGAGTAATCCGGTAGTCAAAAGAGCTGGTACCTCACTGACAAACGGTGGCAACGTGCTGACGAAAAAGAATGAAGAGGAACACGAAAGAGGTGGTAAAGGTCGTATAAAAGGGTGTTAAAGAAGAATAAACATTTACAACTATTCTTGCTGTACCCGGTAGCTCTCATCGAAAGCGAACAAAATTCCAGTATCAGAAGAAGAAGTTCATGAAGCTCAATGTCTTATTTGCTCACATTCCTATATTAGATATGGTGAAACATATGCGGAGTCTTTTCCTTCTATTCCCCGTACAGCAACGATTTGTGATCACGAGGTAAATAATCAACTGACTGAAGTGATTAGAACTGCAACTCGAATGACTTTATATTGGAAAGATCCTAGGTCAAGAATTAATATTTTTGATGAAACACATAACAAGGAGCCTGCTTCCAAACGATGATCTCGATTCATAGTGTGATTAATGGAACACTCGAAGGAGTTACAAAAGCTATTCGACCATGTTTTTCCACTCAGAAATATGCAGACATGCTTAAAAGCTCAGTAAGAGCCGGGATTGACCTTGTAGTAATCTGGCCTAGGTTCCCAGCCAAGAAAATGCTTTCACAATTTTGAGTGAAAGTCCTAGTGCGTGAAGCACATAGTGCTAAGCAGACTAGGCATTTCACAGCGGACCTCGCCCAACAAGCGGGACAAATGCCAAAGAATAAGAAGTAGAAGAAGACTAGGCATTTCATGAATGTTAGCTTCAACCAACCTTTAGTTCAAAACCGAGTATGATGAATCAATCAACCATGAATAAGACACAGAAGAAAGTCAGAGCACTTCTGAGGAAAGCTTTTTTTCCTTTTCAAACTCTACAAACCCGTTAGAGCTTGCCCTTTTTCAGTGACACGAAGCAAGTACAAATTCATATAAACGACAGTGAAAACAGCCGAATACTTATGCTGAAAAACAACATTTGAGAGAAATCGAAACGATCCATCCGACGCTGCTACAATAACTTCAAGAGAGCATCTACAGTGTAAATATTTAGCCTCCCGTCGGATCAGAACTTATATGAAAAAAAAAACATTTGAAAGAAATCGATACTATCCATCCCACGCTGCTATAATGACTTCAAGAGGACATCAACAGTGTAAATATTGAGCTCCCCATCGGGTCACCCGCCCACTGTTCGACCAAAGGACAAAACAGCCGTCACCCAATACTACCACTGAGTCATCGCCAATGACGGAAAAACTTCGAGGAAAAGTTGTGATTACTAAGCATGTTGCGATTATCAATGACAACATTTCAAAGCCATGGGAACACCCCATAACTTCCGAAAAAAAGTGAGACGAAAACAAAAACTGATATTGCTGAGCATATGAATGCAAAGATATTAGACAATCTCGAATGATTAGTATAATTTTTTGCGATCAAATGGATACTTGTGTGGCAAGAAACAATGAGCGAAATGCGAAGGCGCCAAAACCGAGAAATACCGGAAAGTATTTCCGTGAAGCCAAAAACCTACAAAGTTATACAGTATAAGAGCATCTTCAGGAACATAGGATGAACTCTACGATACAGACTTTAATTCATGGGCTTCCATCAATCAGCGCACAACTAACCATCCATAAGCTTAACAGACGTGGAAGGAAAGTTGATGAAGATGAAGTACAGTACCCTCCCTTTCAAAAAACGAGAAGAACGTAGGGTGCAGACCATACACCACAAGTGATGACGGCTTCAAGTAAATCTAGTTAGAGTTTCACAGTGATAGCTGATTTTTGGTAAATGATGGACGTAGTTTCAACTGCAACAGGCTAACATCATTGCAAAAAACATTCACCTTTTGTGGACAGCGCATCGTCGTAATGGTCGCAAACCCGGGGACTTCTCCTTTTCGAAAAAGAAATACCTAATACAATGCCAGGCACATAGACATAGAAATAGTAATAAATTTTCGCATTCTACAACAAGTTCAGCTGATTTTTGGAAGGCCTTTACTCTCGAGATACGAAGCCTGTGCTGGTGTAATGCCATAAGACCCTATAAACCACACAATGTTCGTACAGTCAAAAAGAACGACTCCCTGATTTCGAGTGTGGTTTGCTATTGCCAGAAATGCAACTCCCGCTTTCGCTAAGCTCCAAACCTTTTCGCGCGAAACCCCAGATCCACTCCTGATCAGTGGTGACCAGGGTTCCGCAGCCAAAAAAGATATTCGGCCGAAAAGCATGAAAGTCGCATCTCCTATCCTACAAACACCACCCCCTGGAGTTTTAACTTCAACTTTCGACCAGACACTTCAATGTTTCATAAAAGCTAACATCGACAAGAAAGGAAAATCAGGTCGGGAGACGCCATCTAGTTGAAATGTTCCAAATTCTTTCTTGTCTGTGAACGTTACGCATACGCTTCAAATAAGAAGAATATATGAGACCTGCGACCAACTGCAAGCAACAACGCCCATCTTAGCTGATCTTCGTATTTTCACTGTGAAC